GGGTTATTCATTAATGACAGCAAATACCCCTGACCCCACCTTCCTTTTCGGTAAAAATCCGTCAGCTCGGATAAGCAACCATCATTTTCCCAGCCCATGACAACATTCAACAACTAATTTAATATTACCAGGGACAACTTTTTACCATGAGTATGGAAATGATCAAAGAGGTATGGATCTTCTCCAAATCTAGTACCTTCTCCCGTGGGCCGTAACTTACTTTGATTTTTCACATTTCCGAGACTTTCGTTACTAAATGAATCAATTTACGTCTTATCGTGAAGTCGTATAACATATACACACCTTCCTAATTGGGATTCACTAAATGTAAAGCTACATGACAGCTGCAGCTAGGTTTAACGTGCGGGGTTTGAGGTACCAGAAAATGGAAAGTTTAACAGGGTCTACTTTTACTACATATTCCCCAAGCTCTCAAATTGATCACTTTCCATCTGTCTCCTCCTACTCATCATTACTTCATACCATTTTTCGAAGCTGTAATCATGGTTGGGTTTTCGGTTCTCATTTCTACAGCTTTGGCTGCTCAATCAGCTCTCGCGAGTTCAGTCATTCGCTCGAGAACGAACTATGCAGTCAAGGAAAAGCATTATGTTCCTAGACAATGGAAAAGAGTTGCTCGTGCTCCTGCTGAAGGTATCATTAATTTGAATATCGCTTTGAAGCAGAGTCAATTTGAAGAACTTGAGAGACAGTTATATCAGGGTTAGAGAACTTTCCAACTTTTTGCATTCGAATCGACAGAGCTAATATATTATTTACAGTCTCCGATCCGTCCCACCAGAAGTATGGCAATCATTTGACTTCCGAGGAGGTCGTTGAATTGGTTCGACCATCATCTCAAACTCTTGATTCTACTCACGAATGGCTTCTTGAGAATGGGATTGACGCTTCAAGCTTAAGATACAGTAGTGCAAAGGATTGGATTCATCTTTCCATACCAGTCAAGGATGCTGAGCGCTTGCTCGATACTGAATACCATGTTTATGAGCATGAAGCTGGTGGTCAAATTATTCGTACTCCAAATTGGTCACTTCCCATGCATCTTCATCAACATATTGACGCTATTCAACCAACGACTTCATTCATGCGTGCCGCGCCACGATCCAGTTACAATCCAAGAGAGGCAAAGATTAGCTCAAGACACACAAACGTTATCGAAGGACAACTCAGTGCAGGACATACTCCATCGGGATATACCCCTCCATCAAATACCACACTTTCGGCACTATGTGACGTTGCTGCAGTATCTCCTGAGTGCTTCCAAGCTCTATATGGAATCGGAAAATACAAGCCAAAAGCGGCTGGAAAGAACAAGATTGGATTCAACAATTTCCTCGGAGAAGTTCCTATCAGAGCAGATGATGCCTTGTTCCTACTCAAGTATCGTCCAGATGCAGTAGCTTCTGCATATCAGTTTAAATACGTCTCTGTCAACGGTGGCCCAGTTCAAAACACCACTCTTACTGCTGAACAATTAGCAGATGGACTAGGCAAAGAAGCCAATCTCGATCTTACCGCTATCACTGGAATCAGTTATCCAACCCCAATTACCGCCTACTCCACCGGTGGAAAACCACCTTTTAATGCGGCAGCTGGTACAGATAGCAATACCAACGAGCCGTATGCTGATTGGTTAAACTACATCCTCGCACAACCTACCTCCGAAATCCCCCAAGTTATTAGTACATCCTACGGTGACGAAGAACAATCCGTCCCCGAATACTATGCCAAGCGTGTCTGTGAACAACTCGCTCAATTGGGAGCTAGAGGTGTATCCGTTCTTTTCTCCTCCGGAGATTATGGAGTTGGAGATAACGGTACATGTATCTCTAATGATGGAAAGAACACCACAATGTTCGTTCCAGATTTCCCAACAAGTTGTCCATACATTACCTCTGTTGGGGCTACCAAATTCTTCGAGCCAGAAGTCGCTGCTTATCGCGCTACTGGTATTGATCCCATCAACGGTGTTTATCATGGTGGTTGGTCTACTGGTGCTGGTTTCAGTAACTACTTTGCTAGACCTTCATACCAAGAAAGGGTCGTCTCTGCTTACGTCAAGAAACTCAATGGTACTTTCGATGGCCTGTACAACAAAAGTGAGTACCCTTCCTTCTTCCTACTTACCTCATAGAAATATCACTAACAATTCATAGCTGGTCGCGCATACCCTGATATCTCTGCGCAAGGTTTCTACTTCGCCTACGCCTGGAACCAAACCTACGGCTCCATCTCCGGTACTTCTGCCTCTACACCTCTCATGTCCGGTATTATTGCTCTCGTCAACGATGCGCTTTTATCCAAGGGTAAACCAGTGCTTGGTTTCTTGAACCCATGGTTGTACAGCAAGGGATACAAGGGATTCACCGATATTCTCAGCGGTAGTGCAGTCGGATGCGATACCGCTGGATTCCCAGTCACCGAAGGGTGGGATCCCGCTACTGGTTTCGGTACTCCTAATTTCCCAGAGTTATTGAAACTCGCTGGGGCCAACTAGAAAAAAGTTAAATGGGTTTGCTGGTATGATTAAGGAGGTGATGGTTAGGTGATCGGTAAAATGAATGCATGAAGCATGATGAATAGATAATTCTAATGATATAATGATTACACTCAAATTCCATTTTATGAGTCATTTCGTGAAACACTTCATAAGATGCGACAAACGATGAGTGCAAAATGACTGTAGATCTTATATTCAAAAGCGAAAATATCGCCATCGGTCTCTATGTGAATTTGGATGAACGAGCACATAGACAGGATCACACAATATTTAATATTCATGAAGCGGCTCCTGCTGCTGCGACGACCAACTCCGCGATTTTTCGATCTGAAGAAGCAGCAACGATATTTTTAAAACTGTAGTCAAAGCCTCCAAACGCAATTGAAGAACAATTTAAGCTGTAACATTATTGATTTCTCGATCTTGATAAACAGCAACGAATCATTCAAGTTGCAACATCATATTTGACAGAATCCTCATACACAGACCGATCTTTTTTCAGCTTCTTAGCTTTCTCATCGACATCTACTTTGCCGTTTGAATTGTCTGGATTGTCCCGGTGTTCACTTTCTAATTTTTTTTTACCTGAAACATCTACAAGATGACTAGGCTCCTCGTTGGGATCTAGTCGCTGCGGAGGAGAGCTTTCATTTTCTGCTCCATCTCAACGGCCACGTCCTAAGCTTTTTTGTCATCTTTGTCTTTGATCGAAACACTTGCCTCTATGTTGATAAGTTTTTCGATGATCTTGGCTCTATTAGAAGTTCTATCGGTGTTTATGCCCTTCACTGCGACATGTAGTGCAGTCCGTCCAAGCCGGTCCTGCGCATTGAGAACCTGGGCTTCGACTACTCTGTTAAGAAGTATTTTCACAATTTTTGAATGTCCACCGAGAGCCGCAAAGTGTAAGGGAGTCATGTGGGAATAATCTTTGACATTGAGTGTCTTTCATGGAGCTTCCATTTCAGAGTAATTTGGTGACTTCGATATTTCCTGTCTTCACGACCCAATAGAATGAAACTAGCCCGTCTCTCCCTTGCAATGGTATTGCGTTGGCGTCCAAGAGTTTTTTGATAATTTCTTCTGCATTATCTTGTTTCAATTCGTCCTTTTGTCTCATAACGGCGTAGTGCAGGGGAGTACGGCCGGCAAGGTCACATTCGTTAAATAGCCCATTCCTCATCTCCACCAATTTCTGCACTGCTTTCAAAGATAGATCACTGCGTAGTGCAGAGGTGTCCAACCAAGTATTTAGCAGCACCTTGGATTGCTCCATGTGTCCACTATCTAGAAATAATTTATTCCCATCAATAGCTTCTCTGTGTAAAATTGTCTGCCCGTTTTTTCCCTATCCTTTGACCTTGTCTTTGGTCTTATCGTCTAACAAGGCTACCTTTGCAAAGTTCCTGAGCCGACCCTGCTTTGCAAAAAGTGACTGCAGCATATCTAGACAGTTTTAATGATTAGATCTCAAGATATCAACCAATATTCTTTTACTCTTCTCCAAATTCCATCAGATGTTTCCATGTATTGCTTAGTTTCTGAGGCAGATGTGGCAGTCACAAGGAAGTCAACGATTGTGCTGATTACTTTGTAGACAAAATCCCCCTCTGGTGGTAGATTGTCGCACATTTTCAGTAATTTTCCGTAAAGATTGCAAGCAATATTCTGATAGCCCAGCTCATTATCTTTGGCGTTTTTCGTACTACGTCTATTATGCCTTAGTTATGGAGTTTGTCAGAATAGCCAAGTGGGGGTATTATCAGTAAATTGGCGTCTTCCAACGTTCCCAAGCCAGAACTCTCGATGGCTTTGGTCATTTGCTTGATTGTTTTGTTGGTTAATCGTAAAGAATTTCAGTTTGGGTGCTCCTCAATGAGTCTGAGCTCGTCATCCCCTGGTAACACAACTTCTTGTTGCGCGTTCATTGTGCCTCTCTGATAGTGGCAAGGAATTTACAATCGCCCACGGAAAGGTGGAGAAAATATGTTGAGCAAGAAAATTCTCTTTGGAACACTAACGATCTTGATAAATCTGACCGATGCTCAACGTCTAGTAGGCTGTAGGTGAGGAAATAAATAAAATATAAGGGTTACCTGGCAGACAGAAACCCATGCTGAGACATTCTGTGTCATGTTGATCATCCCAAGAAAACTCACCAAGTGCTTCAGCACTCTCAGTACCGGCCCACCACTCCAAATCCCTTTTGATTTTAGATCTTGAGGGGCCAATGACTCGTTGAAAGGAGTGTATAACACGAGCAACATTCTCAGTGCTATTATGAGCTCTGTTGCCGCTCTGACGATCATAACTAAAATGATACATCCATAACGAAAGAATTGACTCAATACCTTCTGCGGAGACGCTCCCTAGGTCTGACTGACGCGCAAATACCCATTCTGAACACTAGCATGGCTGTCCTACTGGCCCTAGTCGGGAACGCATAAGCGCTTGGGCTTCCACCTACCGCAGCTCCAAATCAATTGTTGTAGGCAATAAAGGCAGGAAAAATAAAAACTCCCATCTGAAGAATGATGCCTAGAAGGGAAGCGACAAACAATTCAATGCTGTTTTGCTTAGGATGTATATTCAAAGAGATAATCGGAGCTCGATTCAAGCCGTCGTTTTTAAAGTGGCCCTTGCCGGAATTGGTTCCTCTAGACACGTTGCTGCGTGAGTCGTTATCAGGGCTTTTGATAAACTTGTTCTCTTCCTTAGCTTCTGTCTTTTTTCGCCATAGTTCGTTTAGTGTATCGATGAGTGGATCACTATATGCTATTGAAAGGATCGAATGTGTCATTTCCAATTCAAAACAAGACACAAAATCCAAACATACCTTGTTTTGTGACGAGGTTTTCCTTTTCAGCATCAGTCAAAGTGAAGAGACCAAATTTCTTCGGGGGACCACACCCCTCCAGGAAGAGAATCCGTTTAACCTCGCTTTTTCCTATGGTCCGGACTATGCCGTATCCATTCCATGGCTCAGAAACTTCATGTGGAGTTGAGGACATGAAATCAAGCTCTGCAGATACTCGATTCTCTCGCGCACGACCGATCAAAGCTTTCATTTGCGGCGGACCTCCAACGCGAATGGCACCTGTAATAGCAGTAGATGTCAATGGAGCCATGGCGAAAATGATGTGGTCAAGCCATGTGAATGATTCTCTTAGTAATTGTTGGGCAAAGCTATCACCGAACAATGCCAAAAGTCTGAACCTTTGCCGGCAATGAAAGTTTTCGAATACCTGGGTCAGCAATATATCTATGAATAAATATACTTACGGTCCGAGATCTGAGAACAAATTATTGGTGACATCTATTCCATCTGCTACGACCTGTGAAGCTAGAGATAGTAGCAAGATCGTTGGATACTGCATTTTCCCGATAATCATTTACTGGGCGTAGCAAGGCTACGTACGATCGATAAAGGAAATTCCAGGACTCGGACGCCACTTGACGATATACAAAAACCTACTTAACAAGAGATGATATAAGTAGAGAAGTGCCCAAGAAACAATTGTAACGAGGAGCGGTAAATGGCAAGTAAAGGTCAAGGATGTCTCAAGACTCATGGGGTGGAATACTCAACACCTTCCATTCCATCAGCCCTGCTCCCACCACTACAATCACTAGGATCTCCCTGAGTCTGACTTGCCTAATCCCGTGCACCAAGCCGTTAGATGATGTACGGATCATGTAAGTGCGGCATGAGTCTGGCAGGTTTGTATTTATTAATCAATAACCGCATGGCAGATTCTCCTTTGGCCATGAATGTAGATCAATATCCTCGGACTGTTGAGCGACGGAAATTCGATCAACGTATCAGAAGTAGCCTTTGCACGCAGGATAATTTGCGAGTTTCCACGCTTGATGAACATCGAATGTAGTCGTTCTCTGACCATGGCATTTCGCGTTATCAGGTATGAAATGTAAATAGTAAACTTTCCTTAGCTATCGAGCTTCCATGTGATAAAGCAAGATTATCATTTATTTGGGTGGCTGTAGCTTTGGGCCAGACACATTTTGATTGCTAGATGACACTCACGTGTACGACTAGCGACGAGTCAACCCAGCCGCACGAATAGGTCACAAAGCAAATTCTCATTCGCCATTTTTCTGCAGTACTATCTTCCCAACATTACTGAGTAGCAGGCTCGCATGGTAGTCTAATCAAATGGTCAAGTTGGAAGTCTACAACTAGATACGGAGGAGTTTGCGATCAGATCCTCATATGGGCTCCATAGGGTGATATAGAGAACGCATGGAGTGATTTGGTACGAGATGTCCAGAGGATTACCACAAGGATGAATGGAAAGGCTAAATTGCATTGTGTTGTTCCATAGATGATTGAGGCTTGCAAGTTGTATTGCTGTTATCTCCACCAGTGCTATTGAGATGCTTAATCTCATGGGCATTGAGTGCCTGCGAGTGCCTACATGATCATGAAATCTAGTCAGGAATTGCTTACTGTTGATATGTACTTTTTCAGTGTCTTTCGTATTCATATACCCGGCTTTTCGGGATACATCTCATCAGCTGGATGAGATGATGAGTGAGGGCGAAAACAGTCTCTTGTTCTAGATACATGTCATCTACCTGCGATATATACATGCTGTAATAAGCTTACTTACTATAGGTATTCCCAGGCTTCACGCACCGTAGCAGATATGCAACAAATTGATTCGAGCAATCACAATGCTGTGTTGGCGTCAATGGATTGGATCGAATACGCAGTGTTAGACTCTCTTGCAACATTCCAGCACATGGTGGTTTCCTCAATTCGAGAGGATCCAGCACAGCTCTATACGGAGACTTCTGCACAAACCATCAGTATTTTCTCCCCCTTTGCAAAGCTTAATTTCCCACATGAGAGATCCGAGGAGATGCTAGGTATTCTTCCTATTCTCTTGCTTTCTAATACATTCATATGTATTTTACATACACATATCTGCCCACTTATTCTTCATAATCCAAACCTCTCAATATGCTTCTGTCATGTGTTCTTTTTCAATTTATCAAAAGCTCTCTCTTCCAATCCTAGTCCATCAGTGAGTGCATGGATTGACAGGACACTTCCCAACTTTCGAATTTTTAACAAATTCATTCTTCAATTATTTGATATCGGAATTCACACTGAGAATTCACACTTTGATTCTTTCATTTCTAATAAACAATTGTAATAATTCTTAAGATATAAGATTTGATATGTCAAGAGATATTCGCAAGTCAATTTTTGCAGTGTCCTGTCAGTCGGTACACCTACTGGTGGTCTCCTTAGCCTTGCTCAGCATGGTCAACCTATACCCAATCTTCTACCTTCGATCAAGGGTATACATGAGATTTTCTCACTGATTCTTTTTATATGATCTCAATACTATCCATGCGGAGCGCGGTTCATCATACAAAGTCATATGAAGTGCTGTGATGTACGATGCTAGAAGTATTTGTATATGTAGTCAATAGTTGCTCGTTTGATATAAACTTCGGTTATTTCATAAACTTCAATGTCTTAAACACTCCAGTCATCTGCTCTTTCAACTCCACCAACGGATGTCTCATGTTTTCCTTCTTTATGTAGCACATCCGGTTCCAGCAGCCCCATCAACTCCGCAAATCTATCATCTGCTCCCTTCGCTACCTCTACACTCCCTGTGATGATCTCCTTGACTCCTTCACTTAAATTCCCAATCACACCGCCCTCCATACACGCCGCATCCCATGCATTCCCCCATTTGTTCCACCTCCAATTACCATCCGACGCCCACCTCATATCTCCCTCCACATCCATAAAGGTCCTCTTCCCCTCATCATCACTCTTCTTCCTCACCAAGCCCCCATTAAACCATAGCAACTCCCCCTTCTCATCTACATGCGCAATAGTACTCCCACAAACATCCTCCCTCGATAACCCATCCGTCACATTCCACACCTGCCCCCCAATTATCCCCCCATACTTCTCAGCAAAACTATATTCCACCCCGCTCAACTCCATACCCAACTAATAAGTTTCCTTATCCCCGTGCGTATTGCGATACGTAATTATCTCCCTCACTACATATGTATTCTGCTAACACGCATGCAATAATCCCATAAGAACTCCCAATCTCCTTTTGTCTAATACCACCACGCCAGAATCCTGTTCTTGTCCAAAATTTTCATTCATCACTCGGGATTTGCGAAATGTACTGCTGGGGGTGTGATCTTTCATTTGCCATCGCCAGAATTCATGACGATATCTATATAAACTTTTGCCAATCAGTCTATCATGGAAGAATAAAGTCCCTGTTTCCGCATAGGCAGCATGCGCATCCAAAATGATTTCTGGCGGCTGTAGAAAAATAGCATCAGAGTCGACTAGAATCACCTGTTCAAAGGTTGATGCTAGGAGTGCAAACGGTTTGACAGCCCATTTACTCAACCCATCTGATAATTGCAGTGTCATATCATCCAAGATCTTCGTTAAATCCAAGAATTCGATTGCCCCGATATTGTGAGTCTCGAACAGAGATAGAAGAGCGGAGCGATATTGCGGTGGAAGATCCAAATTTCCGGCATATACTATTTGTATAGGTAATGTTGATTTGAGAACGGAACGGAGGTTAAGGATAAGATGGCATGTATAGCGGAATGTTTTTGTGCCTGTAGGTATAACGATCCCACGGGAGCCGGGCACAAATGATTTCCTGAGGTTGGCGAGTGAAGCGGGATTCTTGTTCGGCAATTCATTTCCTTTTTGTATGAAAGGGAAAAGAGAGGTGATGGTCTTCTCTACTAGTGCTTCGTACTCGAAAAATGCCTTAGTTGCGGTTGGATTACCCTTCACATCGATCTGCATTAACCATCTTGTGAGTATTTGGATTCTTCTTCCCATCTCAGCAAATTCATCTTCAGAAACAGGTACTTTGATGAGATGATGAGCGACAAGAGAATTCTCCTGGATTTGATGTTCCATAATGGGTTTCAGATTCGGCTCTAACCCCGTGTGGCCGAGAAACGATGTCGATTTACATGTCCACAAGATACCAAGTATGCAAAGTAAGATTACAGTCTTAATATTCAAGTCGTGGTGTGAGGTTTGACGTGGTATTCGAAGTCTCAAGACTGTTTTGGGTATGGAGAGACTTGATAACATTCTCTGCGTTGTTCTAGTGCACCTCTCGCCAAGATGCGAATACACATTCCAAAAATTGGTGCCAGCTATAAATCCCTGCAAAATTTGGCCTGAATCACCAATAAATCAAGCCTTCTTTCAATAACTGGCGCGCTTAAATCAGATAATGCGTGTTTGCGAGTGAAAATGATGGTGATTGGAAAGCAATGCACTGGCTCTGCAAAGAACGTGACTTTAATTGCCTAAATGCGACATATCAAGCAATCCAAACGATTGTATAAATCATGATTTGGAAGCTCTGGAAACCTGTGAAGTCGAAGGTGTCAACGTAGACACTACAGCATCAAAATGTTGAATTTCCCTTTGTCGTTGGAAGATACTTTGGACTTACGCGTCTAGACCTTGAAATGAAAACTAATCTTAACCTAATTGGGAAATTATTCAAGGGGTCCTGTGGAGAAATTTATGGGCCAAGAGGACGCAAAGAAAATCGCCTTATTAAGCTTAACTAGGTATAAAGAATTCTGAAACTCTTCACTTGAATACGAAAAAAGCGTGTAGCTGTCAGGTCGATGCTATGTAGAAACATACGATACACGCGCGATAGATGTATGAAGTAGATTTCGACAATGGGAAGAAGTGAAAGTGAATCGCGAACTTTGCCGCCCAACAAAAATACGGTATATCAAAAGTGGGTATCAACTCTTGTGAGATACACCTTGATGAGCTATTCTGATAGATTGATTACCTTGATGGGCTGCAACTTTCCTGACTGAGGTAGAACTGGAGCCATGATTCGTATCCCATGTTGGCAAACAAGCTTGCTCTGTATCACAGGATAATAATAATAATAATAATAAGTACTTCACAGTAAATCAAACAAGGGGCACAGATTGTGTGGGAGTGAGAAGGCTTTAGGACGGAGGACGACAGAAAAGCCTACAGCTTCCCGAGCATTGCCGACATCTCTTTAGGTACTTCACGGCGCGTAGCCATGTAGATACACCTATCTAATGGTTAGCATTTCGTTAATATTACCAAGGATTTTTCTATTCGGATTGTTTTATCTATTCAATAATTGACCTCGAGAGTATCTTGATCGCTCTCTGTGTAGTTGGTGAATATATCGTTAGGCACATGACATCTGTAGACCTGACCTGACTCGATGTCGTCTAAAAAGTTTATTTACCACTCTCCATTTGCCACTCTTCACCGATCTGTAGAATCCCCACTTTGGGGGATTTTCGACAGGACTTTAGCAAATCATGTCATAGTTTTCTTATCATCCATCAATCATACAATCAGAGCTAGAAGTGGTTGGTCAATTTTGGCGGAAAACTGCATAAATGAGTCTAGTCAGGAACCTTGAGACGTTTGTAAGCCAAGCCAGCCGCCAGTTGCTAGCCAATCAATAAGTTTATTCACCTTTTCTCCACAAGTCCATGACCGCTTTCTTGCAGGCACAGCAAAACTAAAATGATTCCTACAAAAACGCTACATACAAACATCAGTTCTCATATCTTACCAAGCTTCGATCAAAAGTATATCTTCATCTCTCAAATGATATCGACGTAACGCTTTTTACCTTCTCTCCTTTTCTTTTGCTTGTGAGAAGGGCGAAAGGTCTTTAAAAGAGCAGTGTTTGGAGATGGCGGGTCAATTCGTTTTGCTGCCTGACCAGATGGCTGCACTTAACGGTCAAGGAGGCCCCAATCACAACTTTGAAATCGACTTGAATAACGAAAGCTCTTCATGTAGTCGAGCTTGGGTATGTTGCACTTCAGTCTTCTTCGCCCGTCTCCCCTCTTATTTCAATGAATACCGCTGACACAATTCAAGGATCCTGTGAATGCAAGATTCGAAGCTTGCTTTATACCATTCATAGCTGGTATTCCAGCAGTCATTAGTGCTTTAATTATCCTTGGATTCTTCACAAATTTGTTGCCAATTTCGCGTTTATTGCCATCATGGCTTCAACCATTCATAGAAGAGCCCGAGGAGAAATCTGGAGAGTTCGAAAACAGGCGCCAACGGTACGTGTTCACGCCCATGACAAAATGTCTGTTGGCTGTCTCAATTGTCGGTACATTACTACAAGTGTCATCAATATTTCATCATGATTTCTACCAAAATCAAAACTTTCATATGATGATGATGATATTTCCTACCATATCATGGACAGTGGCATGCCTCCTCATTGCTATCACTCAGCCTGCGAAAATACCGAAATCTTTGCTCTTTCTCTACATTAGCATTTTTGTTTCACAGTACTTCGTTTTGCTTGATAGATACTCGAGTCTGAACATTCAGGATGGATCCGTGGTTCTTTCTTGGTTGGCTTCGACTGCAGCGATCATTATCATTCTGCAAATGCCCATGCGTGATCCATTTATCGGTAATGATCGAATCAGCCCAGCTTTCAGCTCACCGAGCGAGTCGCTTCGGAGTCCAGAGGACAATCTCACTCTATGGCAATTCATGAGTGTCTCTTGGATGTCGCCTCTCATGTCAATAGGGAAAGCTCAACAGTTGAATGAAGACAATGTTTGGAGCCTCGGCTACCAATTTCAACATAGAGTATTGCATGAGAAATTCAGGGATACAAGTGGCTCTATGCTGAAAAGACTTATAGATGTCACAGGGATTGATCTTGTTATACTTGGTTGTTTGGGAATTTACAAATCAGTTGCAGGTAAGCACATGATGCAATTTGGGGATAATGGAAATGTAAACTTAACGCTGACATTTTCAAGACATTGCTGCACCTTTTCTACTCCAAAAAATACTCGCAAGTATGGAAAATCAACTAGCTCCAAAGCAAGCTACGTTGACTTACTCTCTGATCGCCCTTGTCATCCGCCTTATATCTGCTCAGTGCGACGTTTTTTCAACCTGGTATGGTAGACGTTCCTATGAGAGATCCCGAGGCGTACTCATTACAATGCTCTTCGAGAAATCATTGTCAAGAAAAACAATTAGTGTGAGCACAAAGCCCAAGGGAGACGAGCAGGCTAGCGGGCAAACCAACGAGCAAACCAACGGGCAAACGAATGGAAGCAATGAAATTACTATTTACACTTCATCCAAAGATGCCATACTTCCATGGTGGAAGAAGGGCTTGAAAATCATTGCAAACCCCTTTAGATCCTGTTTTGGATTGCGATCCAAAGAATCCAAGAAGCCAAAAGAGCCGGCTACGATGGGAAAGATACTAAATTTGATGAGGTTAGGCTGTCCGTCAAATATCTTATGTTTTCACTGACAATTTCTATAGGGGAGATGCTTATGAAGTTGCGCAACGGTGAGACGAAACTCTCAAGATCACTATCTTACCATGCTAATATGTATTACAGATTTTGGGACTTTGCTAATTTCATTACTCAGCCACTTGGATTGGTTCTTTCAATCATTGCTGTCTGGAAGCTTCTCGGATGGCCTTGCTTTATTGGTGTTATAGCTGTCTTCATTGGTCAAGCTCTTAACGTTTTGGTTTTAAAGGCTCTTTTGTATTATGAAAGACAACGAAGAACTGCCTCTGACACCAAACTTCATAAAATATCACAGCTAGTTGAATCAATAAGGTATGTGAATCATTAGTTTCAGCTATCATTGCCAGTCTCCACCTAAAACCTGGTTTACGAACTAAATTTTTGACAGGCACTTGCGTTGGTATGGATGGCAAGATATCTGGCTAGGCCGCATTATGGAAGCAAGACAAGACGAATTATGGCTACGTGTCATAACAAGGGCTTGGGGTATTCTTTTGTCATTTATTTACATGTTTTCAAGTGGAATGTTTCCTGTGGTGGCTTTCTGGGCTTATTGCGTCTGGGCAGGTCAGCCATTACGTGTTGATGTAGCCTTTCCTGCTCTCCAACTTTTTCAGATGCTTCAAATGGGACTACAGACTGTTCCAGATCTTGTAACAACTCTCCTCAACGCTCGAATTGCAATGGGACGTATCGAAGACTTCATGAAAGAACCTGATAAGCCAGAGGTGGAGGCAAATCAACAGACGAATCGCGGATTTGAAATGAATGATGCATCATTCGCTTGGCCTGGAGCTACGGTTCCTGTTTTAAGGAACATGACTCTTTCATTCCCAGATGGATTATCGCTTATATATGGGGAAGTGGCTTCCGGAAAGACGGCTTTGTTACAGGCTCTACTTGGTGAGCTTGATCATCTTAGCGGAGTATATAGCCCAGTAAATGAGGTGGTAGGTTATTGTGCGCAAACACCGTGGCTACAGAGCATGAGTATAAGAGATAACATTTTGTTTTCTGCTCCATATCAAGAACCCCGATACAGACAAGTGTTGGATGCTTGCGCTTTGGTGCCAGATATGGTCAATTTCAAGAATGGAGATTTATCCTTGATTGGCGAAAATGGGATTGGACTGTCTGGTGGACAAAGGGCTCGTGTCGCATTGGCACGAGCAGTGTACTCCAATGCAAAAATCTTGTTTCTTGACGATCCTCTTTCTGCACTTGACCATCATACGGCGGAGTCAGTCGTAAAGAAATGTTTGACAGGTTTATTAGCAGAGGGGAGAACCATTATACTGGTGACTCATCGCACGGAGTTATGTCAGGGAATAGCACGACAGATTATTCGAATGACAGATGGGACAGCAGAGGCATTTGATGCCGAATCCATTCCGTCCGAATTACTACATACAGTAAACTCGTCGAATTCTGCAGAGGAAGAGCAAAAGGAAGACGAAGATCAGATAAATTCAGCAACACCCGAAAAATTCATGGAGGATGAACATCGAGAGCAAGGCGGCATTAGAGCTTCTGTCTATTGGGAATACATCAAAGCAGGAAAGTTGAGGTATTGGGCTCTAATTCTAGTGGTAATGACTGCTTATCGATTGATTGATATCGCCGAAACGTGGTTTCTGAAATCCTGGGGAGAAGCATACGAAGGACCACGAAAACCATCCAGAGATCCCTTAAGTCGACTTCCTTCTCCAGAAACCAACATTCAACCATGGTTACTTGGATTCTTCCTTCTTGCTTTGGCTCAGTCTATTACTTGGGTATTTTTTCAGGCTTCTGCACAACTGATGGTTTACACAGCGGGGAAAAGCATCTTTGAAAGAGTCATGACCAGAGTAGTCCATGCGACATTCCGTTTCTACGATGTGACACCAGTAGGGCGTTTGATGAATCGTATGACATCAGATATCAGTGTCATTGATGGAAATTTAAGTTCTCACTTTACATCATTTGCATTCTTGATGATTATGTGGTTTACATCTATTCTGGTTATTGGATCTCTTACACCAACCTTCTTAGGGTTTGCAATAATACTCGTCATCACAATTGTATTGATATACATGCGATTTCTACCTACATCTCAAAGCCTGCGCCGTCTGGAAATGGTCTCTTTGACTCCTTTAATATCGAATTTTGGTCTCCTCACTGAGGGACTCGGTACCATACGTGCATTTTGCGCAGAACGTCGTTTCCAGGATCGGGTTATTGAAGTGACAGACATTTTCCAAAAGATGGATCACTTCTATTGGTCATTACAAGCATGGCTCGCGTTCCGGTTCAATATACTTTCCGCTGTATCAACATTTCTTATGACAGTCATAGCCGTATACCAAAATTTATCACCTGGTCTTACAGCCTTCGTTCTTTCAGCCGCAGGTCGATTCGTATCATCAACGAAAGGATTATGCCAATCTTACGGCCGACTACAAATGGAATTCGTTTCAGTAGAACGTGTAGTAGAACTTCTACATCTCGAGCTAGAATCTCCTGGCAACATAGATCCACCAGCCTACTGGCCCCGTCTAGGTGGCGACATAATTTTCGAAGATGTCAGCATCAAATACGCCCCTCATCTAGAACCGTCACTAAAGAATATCTCCTTGACTATTAAAGGTGGCTCAACCACTGCGTTAATTGGTCGCACTGGCAGTGGAAAATCCACACTAGCTCTCTCTCTACTCGCAACGACATTACCAAATACAGGTCGCATTCTCATTGACGGCATCGACATCTCTCAAGTAAAAACTCAAGCTTTACGTAAGCGCATTACCTTTCTCGCTCAAGAACCCGTTCTATTTCCAGGGACGATGCGTACGAATCTGGATCCGATGGATGAATTTACCGATTTTGAATGTTCATCCGTTCTTTCCAAAATCGCTGTACGACATAATTGGACACTCGATACAAATATTGATTCAAAAGGAAAGAATCTGAGTCAAGGTCAAAGACAATTAGTAGGGCTTGCGAGAGCGTTGTTGAGGAGAAGCTCGATTATCATTATGGATGAAGCGACAGCCAGTATTGACAAGGAAACGGCTGGAAAGATTCAAGAGCTTATTAGAGAAGAGCTGAAACAAAGTACGGTCATTACTATTGCGCATCGGGTTGAAGCGGTCAGGGGTGTAGATTGGTGTGTGGTGCTTGAGAAGGGTGGAGTGAAAGAATTTGGTGAGGCGGGTAAAGTTGGTAAGATGGACGAGCAGATGGACACTCCTGCTGGGGATAGGAGTGGGGGAGAATAGATATTTGCAAATCTCAGTTGGAGGACCCGGATAGACTGAATATATTAAAAGTGCGTTGAAATTTTCGATATAGTGCGTGGAAACAAAAAGGCGTTAGATCTCCGCTTATGGATGTATTCTATCTTATAGATGATAGCTGAGCTCACAAACGGGACATGGCGAAGTGAGTTATCAATGTTTCGGGGAGGGAATCAGGTAATTGCATTGGAACATTGAAAGGAAATGCTTTATTAGACCTCCACTCAGATAATCTGGAGCAATAATTCTAGATGTGAGAAAAAGGATACTGAGTCAGAAAACCATTCTATGCATAACAACCAGTATGATATGAAGAACTGTAATCTTATGGCTATAACTGTTCATCGTCTCAATTGTATCAAGGAGAAGCACATCTCCAATCGCAAAGTCATCGAGACTTAGCTAATGGTGTCGTTGAATTCGAACTCTTGAGTAAAAAACACCACCACTCCCAAGCAAAAATTTGAGCATCGGAACAATTTCGGAGCTTAAAAATTTCTATTCTTCAGCTCGTCACATGATTCCAGATAGGCAACACTCCTCATCAGAGAGATTTGAAAACTTGTCCACCCTCTTGTACTTCCTCGATGGATTGAAGATAATAGTTTTCAATGTGAAAATGGGAGATAGTTGGAAGTTAGGATCATGCTGATGGTGTTTAGACTTTGGATTCGGATGCGTCACATGACACTACGCTTTCGGGTTTCTTTTGAGGGCATCTTTCGCGTCCGCTGTACTGCATTGCATTCGACGCGATCGAAATTTTGAAGATCGTGGCTCAGAGACTTACAGGTCAAACAGAAAAGATGGGTGTCATTCACAAGCTTGGAATTGATAATTGACAATTGGGAGAAGCTGTATACGGTACCATCGTCATCAATAATCAAATGGATTGATTTGGATACTAGGTAGCGTTCAATATGTTTGAGCCAACCTTTTGCTCTATATCATCAGACAATGGAATCGATATCCTCAATCTGTCTGCCATCTTCTCAATTGAGATCCCTAAGTAACCAGCGATTTCAAGCTGGCAAGATCGTGGAAAGTTCCATGTCCATGGCTACATACTGTCCTCAATGAAGGTGAGCATGGTTCCGTCTGGGAACTTGTCTGGTGACTTACGTGGAGTTGCATACCCATTCTTCAGACAGGTTGATGATTTTTGATCCTTAGGATCCTCATGCATAGCACGCATCAATTTCCATCCCCTCCATTCCATATCCCTTTCCCCCGAGCTTCAAATTGGGCTTCGTCATTCCGAGTTCTATTCATTCCATCCGCGGTTCCAAACCAGACACCATTTCCCACCAAAATCGACAAAAAAAATCAGCCCAATCTTTACGCACTCCCGCTAACCTTAATCTCCACCGACTTCCCCTGATTTATAGTTGAAGGTAGTCTGGTCCCAATTTTCATCATCGGATTCTCAATTCTACTTCTACCACAAGAAGTAGCAATACTACTCGAACTCCCCGTCGATCCATCAACCGATGCCGTATCATCCCCATGTCTATGTCCTCCAGTATGTAGCGACATCCTGATCGCTTCCTGTTTCTCCGCCGCCGGAGTGTATAATTCAATATACATACTTGAACGTGCGGGCATGTTGTTTAATTTCTCGAATTTCAATTCGACGCAAGTAAGAATAGATTAGATGATATATCAAAATGATCTATAATCACGAATCAAAAGTTTGAAAATCCTGGTTATAGTATCTTTATATGTATATCACTCTGGGAAAGAAAATACATATCAAAGGACCGAACCCGATTTCGTGTTTCCACACACAACACTTTATTCATCATTTTCTTGAAGGAAGTTTCTCTCGTCAGAGATGGAGCGAGCTTGCTCCACTTTCCTTCCTTACATATTGGATGGAAATTCGAATTTGGCAAAATTCATATCCACATGTTCAAGCCGTAAGCCTGCAGTGATATGACCAAGTAAGTTATCGTCTCACTGTTGAGGCTAGAAATGTTTTCTTCCGTGCTGCAATGTGTTTTCTATGGGAGGGGAATGTAAGCAGTATGCATGCATACATTTATTTTCTTGACTTGTTGTTGCATGCTTGTATGGTTAGTGCGATCGTATCACAAGATGTATGCATGAGGATTTTAACATTGCAGAAGTTTTGTTGCAACTTGTTTGGGGACTTTATGTTCCCCGACCAATTGGGAATTTGGAAGTTGATATATTAAAATTTGTGATTCATGGGAAGTGAACTGCAGCGAATGGAAGTGTCGGTGAGAATGAGAATGAGAATGAGAATAAGATCATATTACACAAACTCTTCTGCGTAACTCCCGTCAGGATATCTTTTCTCAACTCATACTCCGTAAAGCTTCATAATGGATATCTTCAACTCACCATCTACCAATCATCATTCATCAATGCAAACCAAATTCTCCGTTCCATACAAAATCCCAATCCCAATCTTCATTATTCATTATTCATTCTTTCCAGGCCACAAAAATCTCATCTCATCTCATCTCATCTCGTCCTCCCCACTCTATCTTATATCTTATGTAATACCTACGCAAAGCAAACAGCACAGTAGAGTACATGCATACAATCACATCACATCTCACATCTTACATACTTATCCCTCACTTCTTCACATTCTTATCTGTTTGTCTGTCTTTAAGTGATCATTAAGGTTTCGCTCGTGTTGTTTTGGTTCTAGGTGGATGCTATACGACACATCCGATGTCAGATGAATATTACGCGGCTGACATAAGTTGAACTTCCACCCACTGTATTCCAGCTCTCACAAATCGCACATACACATGTACATAAATATCCTCATATCACCTCACAGTCTCTCATAATATATCTTGTACTCCATTGCCGTCACCGCTCCCGCTACTGTATCCGCTTTACCTGCCTCGTTCAACGACCGAGGTGAATCAATTGCTAAAAATAATTCGTATGGAAGTTCCGATACCGGAACTGCATTGAGTCCCTGTCGGTACTCTACTACCTTGTTCAATTTAATAGAAATTTCAACTAAATGATGTTTCGTGGCAATCCATCCACTCCCCAATGCAGAACTCGTCGCATTAAACCCTACCGTACGCATCAACGACGGTACTTCCATCAACATATTCAATGTCCTGCTCGGCTTCCCTCGCTTCTTCCCATCAATCTGCACTTGCACCTGTCCCACAGGTCTTCCAACATCCTTAGAATATCGGCTCGTAAAACTAGTCCCGTCTACCGACTTCCACTCAATTGAATCAATTCCATTGTCTACCCCACGTCGTGTGGCAAATGGTCCATCATGCAACCCAAGTTGCCTCCCCAAAGGTGACGTGGAATGCGTTCCCATAACATCCCGTTTATCCATAACCTCATAACAAATATGAGCCATCGGTGCAGGCACTGCTGCAATCCCTTCAATAGGGAGAAGGACTCTTCTGTCGCCCCATGGTCGATTCACTGCGCTAGCCACAACTGTGTCTCCACGGCGCACCGTGTTCTGAAACGCAAATGCTTGTATCCGCAATCTTTCCGCTTGCGATATCGTCATTCGCACACTCACTCCTTTGATCAATACTTTCTCAGATGTCCGAAAACGTCCATCACCATCTGCCAATCGACTCATTCGAGGCGGTACCGCCTCACTAATTGGTAACATCACATATCGGTCGTCTACCCGACGTCCCTGAATAAAAACTTCCCACTCACTATTGTTCGTTGCCGTCGCAGTAACAGCTCCACTCGTTCGGCTCATCCTTACCGGAAGCGCCTTCAAGCTCAATGACCTTGGCTCTCGTCCACTGCTTTTCAGCACCTTCTGGGCTTCCGCCCGAACATACTTTCCAAGTGTCGCCTTGCTCCATAACGAGGTCTTCGACCTCCGAGTTGAACCTCTGTTCTTCCCGTAGCTACGTCGTGGGGTATACCCACTACTTCTCCGTCGGCTCTTGTACATCGCCATTTTCTACAAAAAAAATTAATTGAAAGTGATGTGAGAATCATTTCAATAAAACGGTGGGGGATGCCCATCTTATGTAGAGTCTGCTTATTCCTAAGCGATTCCATCATGTGATGGTGGAGTGGGGTCGTGCACACGAGTGCACTTTCAATCCGTTGGTTGATATGAATTTGCACTTTAGTTTTGCACTCATCAGTTGAGTGCGACGCTAATGATTTTGAGTTCAAAACATTATGAGCCAACAGATCACTGCACTTGCGTCAAGTGCAGACCCCACATGTTTAATCATGTGACAGTTCGGTTAGAACTTTTGTACAGAGTACAGAGTACATAATGTGGCCATCGCCCACATTTTTCAGAAATGAATTCCTCATTCACTTTCAATTATTTTGCTTATGCAAAAGAGATGGTAATACCATCGAAGACGATTAATGCTCTACAGAGCTTGTGACTGGATAACAGCACGTACTGAAAGTAATAACAAAACCCGGTAGGTTTTATTTTAACTTTATTTCCAGGAGAAATCAGAGTGGCCCAAGCCCACGTGACGAAAGTCAAACACGAGAGAAGGATGGAAGGCCTGAGGCAGGCAACAGAAAGTCAAGTGACTTTTACAGTCCCTTGCCCTACTGGACAGAGGACAAACGCTGTGGGAATCCAGCAGACCGCATGCCCCGAAAGCATGGGCGGAGCCAAAAGTAGTCGGAAGACTAGAAATAATCGACGAGCAGTGGCTCGATGGATTGCCTTTCAGGCAGAGCGACGAAAGGAAGCAGAAATGGCACAGAGGGTGCTAGGGTCACGTAAGAGAGCAGAAGATAGAGAGCGAAAGCGAGGAGAGATTCGAGAGAAGCTCATAATGGAAGAGATAAACTTCCAGAAAGCCTTGACACATGAGAGACTGGAGGCCATGGGAAGCCTCAGTCAACATCAGAAACCTTGTGGTAACACCAGCATTCAACCAATAGCCAATGACTTGCCCTACTGGACAGAAGCCTTGAACACATTGACTAATGACTCAACCAATAATATCCAAGTTGAGAAAATAGAGGGGGGCCCCAGAGCAGAAAGGAGGGGCCCCCCAAGCGTAGCGCGGGAGGGAGGTCACTTCGCGCATGGGGTGGAACACCCTGTTGATACAAAAGTAGAAGTAGATAGATATTTTGACATTGAAAAATATATAAAATAATGTAATTGATACTCAATTAGTAATAGTAAATGGCCGTTAGGCTATATGTAGTAATATACCCTTATAGGATTAGACCGGTACGGCAGAAGGAAGGTGGACTAATAAGGGGGTTCTTACTAACATATTACTAATAGGTGGGATATATAAGGAATTATCCCTTAAATTACCCTTTTTATATATTACAATCTTTTCTCTTAATAAAAGAATTCTATTTTCTAGAGTTTAATGAAAAAGGAGAATACTTTTATTTTATTATTTAAAGAAAGTTTAGTTTTTCTTTTTGATTTAGATCAATTAAAGATTTTATTATAAAAAAAATTGGGATTATATATTTCAAAGTATTCTAGTTATTAATTTTAGAGAATACATTCCTTATTATCGAAATTATTAATTCATGAATATAAATAGTATAAAGATTTAATAGAAAAGAGATTGATTGAGAACAAGCTGAGTAAGTTAATTAAATCTTATAATGATTTAATAGAAATATAAAATATAGGTTTTTATAAAAAACAAGTTTATATATCTGTTACAACGGATTAGTAACAGCGGCCGAATCATGAGCATTGTTACAACGGATTAGTAACAGGCTGTAGAATCACCAACGTATAGGCTATAATGGTACTATAAGCCTCGGTGATTCAGCTGCAGTATACCGGGGGACGCTAGGCACCCAGGAGAGCCTCAGGCACGTATATAGTATTAGTCATAGTATACCCTAGAAACATAGGACATAGTTCCCAGGACAATAGGTCCTAGGAAAGACAGAACACAGTAAGCAAGAAGGCTTCACTAGGATTAGTAATGTCCCAGGGGATTAGCCCCAGGACAAAAGAATAAGCTAGGACACCAAGAGTCACGGGATTAGTGTCCCGTGATGGACAGCTCAGGAACGACAGCGCTCCAGTGTTACGGGAGCTGCCTCTAGGGTCACGTGGAAGTGTCTAGAGTTCTCTCGAGGTGGTTTAGACTAGACTTCAAGTAGGAATTCAATAAGGTTGGTAACTGGTTGCAATTCTCGTAACTATAGTAATGAAACTAATGATTGTTCTTGAGCACGAAGCTCTACATTGTAATGAAACCCATTCCCTTATATAGACCTTCGTTCTCTCTCCTGGTCCCTAGGACCTCTCCTATATGTTGGATCGTTAAGGATCGCAACGCGCTCCAGGAGCGCTGAAGCTCCTTGACGCTCCATCACGTGTAATTTATGTCATGTGACGCGGTATGTTGGATGCCGTCGTAACATCCAGGAGCGCCCGGCTGTCCCAGCTGTCCAAGTAGGACGAAGATCTATATAAGGGAATGGGTTTCATTACAATGTAGAGCTTCGTGCTCAAGATCAATCATTAGTTTATTACTATAGTTACGAGAATTGCAACCAGTTACAACCTTATTGAATTCCTACTTGAAGTCTAGTCTAAACCACCTCGAGAGATCTCTAGACACTTCCACGTGACCCTAGAGGCAGCTCCCGTAACATTAAAATATAAAAATAATGATTATATATAATATAATTTCAATATTAAAATTATTAATATAAAAATATTATATATCAATTCATTTATTAATAGGAATAATGAAAATTGATTTTTTTATTTTATAAATTGAAATATAGTTTAATATAAAGAATTGAGAAAATTAAGTTTTTATATTATAAATTTGATATTATATCAATATATTATTTAAGTTTTTATAAATAATCTTTTTTAAAATAGAAATTAATTATAAATCAAGTATTTTATAATAATTTTCAATTTTTTTAATTATATAATATTATTAATAGATTAATTTTAATTAAAAAACTAAAAAAAAACTATATTTTATTAAATATAGTTATATATATATGTTACGACAGACATTACATAATACATTCGCGTGTTACATAAAGGAGCCTTAAGGAGCTACAGGCTTCAGGAGCATATGGATCCTAAAGGTTTTAAATAATAAAGGTCTATATAACAAATAAATTTCATTAGAATATAGAGCTTTATATTTAAAAGAATAATTGTTAGTTTTATTATTATAATTATAAGAATTATAATAGTTATAACCTTATTGAATTCCTATTTAAAATTTAGTCTAAACTATTTCAAAAGATCTTTAGATATTTCCATATGATCCTAGAAGCAGCTCCTATAACAATATAATCAATTATCAAAAAAATTATAAAAATTAAATATTAGGATTATATAATTAATAATAAGACATTTCTAAAAAAGACTTTTTTTTTAAATTTATTAGAGATAGAACTAATTTGAATATTAATAAAAAAAAGAATATATTATAATATTGAATTATAATGATATTTAATTTGTAAAATTATTAGGAATATTATAAAATTTAAGGACTTTTTTTAAAAAAAAAATTCTTTTAAAAATGGATTTATAATATTTTTATTTATTTTAAAAAAACTAATAGATTTATTTATTAAGAAATTAGAATATGTTATTTTTATTTTATTTTATATATTAATTTATAATATAATAAGTTATAATTTTTAATTATTTATTATTTTTATATAATTTATTATTATTATATTATAGATTTTCTAATATATAAAAGTTTAATTTTTCAATTAAAATCCAAATAGTAATTCCAGATTTTTAAAATCTATAAAGAAATATTTTAAAAAAAATTTAAAAAGAATTTTTAAATTCTTTTTATTTTTTTGAATATTATATATATTTTTGAAATTGTATTTAAAACTTAATTTTTCATATTTTTTAAAATTTCAAACTTTTTTTCAATAATAATAATATAAATCAATTCGAAAAACTTATTTTTAATAATATAAATTCATTCTAATATAAACTTTTATTAAACTATTAATATCTTAAAATATTATTTTTTTAAATCAATTAATATTCTATTTAATATTTCAAATTCATTAAAACCTGATTATTATATTTCATTAATCTTCAATTTGTTTTTTTAATAAATTTTGATATTATTATAAATAGTTTTGAATTTATAATCAATTCTTAATTCAATAAATTAAAGCGTGCAAGATACAGGGTCGTGCACGATACAGGGACATCGGTTACGCCACTACACACCGATACAACTTCCTCCTCCCCTCCCCGCCAAGCAAATAAGACGGCCCCCAAAGAAAATTATCTTCAAAGAATAATACTTGGTTAGCTGGCTGCTTACTGTGACGATCCTGGTATATTAGTGGATCGCTTAGGGACCCACGTGATCCACAATTCTGTATATTATTACTTCCCTCTTAAAAGCTCTTTTAGCTTTTTATCTTAGTATTTTAAATGATATAATTGTTATATTATATTAAGGTCATATAAATTTAAATAAAAAAAAAAGCTTTTGATTATTCTTATAAAGCTTTCTATTACTGGCCTATTTGTCAAATATCTATTACCTATTGTTTTCCTGTTACGATGGGTAACAGAATGCCATGTGACCAGTGTCACGTGGTGGAGTCCCTAGGAGCCAGGGCTCCAAGGAGGTCCTTGGGAGCTAGGACTCCAAGAAACTCCAACCAACATCAGAGTACGAAGATCTATATAAGGGAACGGGATTTCATTACTATAGTTACGAGAATTGCAACAGTTACAACCTTATTGAATTCCTACTTGAAGTCTAGTCTAAACCACCTCGAGAGATCTCTAGACACTTCCACGTGACCCTAGAGGCAGCTCCCGTAACAATAGAAATAGAAAGAATAAAACTATTCCTTTATTTCTAATAACGTAGTTTATTATCGAGTAGCCTATATCATTAAGTGGCTTACTTTCATCTCAATTTATACTTTCAAACCTATATTATTCAACAACAATTGAATTAATTGATTGAAACTATTAAGAATCTAATAATCTAGAATCTATTACATTATTTTGACAGGTTCTTGTATTATATCCTGTCTTTCTATGTTTACTATAATATCAATTAAAAGATATTTCTCTATTAGAATTCTCTCCTTTTTAATATTTATTATATTGAATTTGAATATCAACTTTTTATTAAGATAATATATCAAGAGTCTCTTATTCAATGAGTATTTTTCCTTAATATAATTGAGTTTTTTTTATACATCAATGTTTATTTAATATTTTATTTACTACTCAAAATGTATAATTGTTTATATTTAAAAGTGTATTCTTATAAGCTAATCTCTCTATACCCTTAATTAAAATTAGTATAGTTTTAAATATAGATATAGAAAAGCTTAATTAATAACAAGTTATTCGAGATTTAATTAATATTAATTGAGAAAGAGTTTTTATTAGATTATAAGAGATTTAAGAGATCTATTGATTTAGGTTGAAAGAAAGAAGAGTAGGTATATAAATTTGAATATCTAATTTTGAGAGTATAGTTTTAGAATTAAATAAAATTAAATTTATTCCTCGGAATTTTAATTTTATATTTTGAAAAATGATTAATTCCTTATATATAATTTAAAAGCTATAAAGAATTCAATCTTCGAAATATAATTGATATATATTTTAATAAATCTATTAATTTGATTATTATATAAACATTTTAGATTGTTAAAATAATTGAGTTAAATGACTTGAATATAATAATAAATATAAATATATAATATTATTCTCTTTATAATATATTTGAAAAGCTATTAATTCATAGCTTTTATATTTATTTAATACTAATATTCAATATTTACTCTTTTTTCGATTCTTAATATATTTATTAAAGTATTTTAATTATTCTAAACCTATTTCATTATTTATTTATCTATTAGATATAAGTTTAATAGTCTATTCTGTAGGAAGATTTGTTTTGATGTATTAATTAGAGAGATAAACTTATTCTTAAATTATTAAAAATGAGGAAATAGTTTCACCCTTTTTATTTCTATATATTATTATTATAGTTTATTCTCGATTATCTAGTTATATTATCTTACTTCTACTATTTGTTACGACTGAGGTCGTCACATAACTAGATTAATTAAATATCACCTGACCAAGGTGTCCCACTAAGTCTCACTGAGTAAGGCCTAGTGGGATATAGTG